GGATTGGAGAGGGAAACGGGAATGGGACACGGGACGGGAATGGGATGAGATACGGGACGGCACTGGAGCGGGAAAGGGAGACGGGACGGGAACGGGAATGGGATGGGAACGGGAAACGGGAACGAGACAGGGAACGGGATGGGAACGGGAATGAGACACGGGGTGGGAGAGGGAGACGGGACGGGAACGGGACGGGAGCGGGAATGGGACACGGGACGGGAATGGGAATGGGATGGGAAAGGGAGACGGGACCGGAATGGGATGGGAACGGGCATGGGATGGGAAAGGGAACGGGATGGGAACGGGAAACGGGAACGGGATGGCAGAGAGAGACAGGATAGGAACGGGAATGGGACACGGGACGGGGACAGGAATGAGACACGGGATGGGAGAAGGGAGACGGGACGGGAACGGGAACGGGACACGGAACGGGAATGGGATGGGAGGAGGAGATGGGATGGGAACGGGACACGGGACGGGACTGGAGTGGGAATCGGACATGGGACAGGACGGGAATGGGATGGGAGAGGGAGACGGGATGGGAACGGGAATGGGACACTGGACAGGACGGGAATGGGATGGGAGGGGGAACGGGACACGGAAAGGGAATGGGATGGGAATGGTATGGGAGAGGAGGCGGGACTGGAGCGGGAATGGGACACGGGACAGGACGGGAATGGGAATGGGATGGGAGAGGGAGACGGGATGGGAACGGGAATGGGACAGGGATGAGAAACGGGATGGGAGAGGGACACGGGACTGGAATGGGAACGGGACAGGACGGGAATGGGATGAGAGAGGGAAGCGGGAACGGGACACGGAACGGGAATGGGATGGGAGAGGAGGCGGGACTGGAACGGGAATGGGACACGGGATAGGACGGGAATGGGAAAGGGAGACGGGATAGGAACGGGAACAGGACACAGGACGGGAATGGGATGGGAGACGGAACGGGAACGGGATGGGAGAGAGAGACAGGACTGGAGTGGGAATGGGACACGGGACAGGACGGGAACGGGATCGAGAGGAAGACGGGACTGGAGCGGGAATGGGACATGGGAAGGA